ATCTATTGTAGAAATCGAAATTGGTATGTTTTTTTCACCATTTTGTGATAAATGATGTTCTTTACGTCAAGTAGTAATGAAATAACTATCCTAAAGAAATTCCAGTATTGACTATATCGGTACTATAGCTCGAAAAAAAGGGAGAATATCGAATTAAACGAATTAGTGAAAATCATTCAGATGATCAAATTACATTACCCAATGTCAACTTTGAGTCAGCTACAAGTTCTTATTCAAATCTATGAAAGGTTTTAGTTGGCAGAGAATCACAATCTTAATCAATAAAAGATGGCCATAACCCGGTACCATCTACAGTTCTATGCTACCGACAAGTTCTTTAAGGAATTGGTATAATTATATCAATCATATTTTAGTGGTAAATTTACTGTTATATTATATATTTATCACTGTAATTCGTGGTGTGAAAAATATATTTTGAATACTGTTGTATCATGTGATAACCACTCGCGTGACGTAACTTATTGTACTGAACGTTGTGTTTATAGTCCACACCAACAGAACTAGATCGAATGGAGAAGATTGGAGTCATACGGAAAATGACGGAACACACAGATTGGTGCTCCAGTATGGTGTATGCCAAGAAACGTGACGGCACAATAAGAGCATGCCTTGATCCACAGCGACTTAACAACGCACTCAAACGTTGCCTTCATAAGATACCAACCCTTGAAGAACTCAACCCAGCATTCGCATCTGCGAGTGTGTTCTCCAAACTCGATGCCAAGGCAGGATACTGGTCCGTACCCTTAGATGAAGATAGCCAACCCCTAACCACATTTCGCACACCCTTCGGACAATACTGCTGGACACGTCTACCTTTTGGTTTGTCTATCAGCCAATACATCTTCCAACAACGCATGGGTGAAATCCTAGAAGGATTTAAAGGAGTTGTTGGAATTGCTGATGATGTCTGTGTTTTTGGATCCAGCAAGGCAGAACATGACTATTCTGCCACTTCTTACATTCAGAACTTTATTCAAAGTCGACGATCATTATTGTAAAAAGCTGTAAAATACAAAGTAACACAAAAGTTACACTAAGGAAAATCAAATAAAAGATATCCCTCTTTAGGATTTAAATGTTAGTTTCAAAGTTCGATTAAATGACAAATCAAGTCTATGACGGCACACAATATAGATCAAAGAACACTGCGAGGTCAAAGGTCAATTTTGCCGATCGACGAAAATGGGAACTCAAAGTTCACAAAAACTATTATTCCGATCGTAGCTAAACTCTCGTGGAGGTAAAAGTAAGCACTTGTAAGTTCGGTTGATACAGATTTTTAACAGATTACTCACACGGTGGTTGCCAAAGGACTGTTTATGTTCGATAAATTCAACGAGTTGAGAAAACTTTTGCAATGTGTTTCCGGTTGTACTGGGTTCGTTGTACCTCCCGAATCAGAAGAGTTCCCTACTCGATTAACTTGATCGCGTATTAAAGGAATACGGCACCATGACGAACATCCGTTGAATCTCATGTTCTGAGCAGTAGAGAAAGGACTTGTATTCAATTCGGACAAATGTATCATCAACCGCAAAGAGATACCATTCTTTGGAAACTTGTACACAGATCGCGGCATCATACCCGACCCTAATAAGATACGTGATATCCAAAGAATGCCTACTCCTCAAAACAAAGAAGATCTTCAACGATTTCTTGGAATGATGACCTACCTCAGTTCATATATACCAAACTACAGTTCCGAGAGCCAGCCTCTACGTGACCTCATACGAAAAGATGTACCATTTGAATGGTCAGAAGATCATCAAACCTGCTTTGAGAGAGTGAAATCGCTCATCACTACCGAGTCTTGCCTTTCCTACTACGATGTCAGTAAACCTCTCATTCTTGAAGTAGATGCTAGTCAAAAAGGACTTGGAGCAGCACTATTACAGGAAAAGCCAATTGCCTTTGCCTCAAAATCTTTAATGCCAACTCAAGCAGCCTATTCAAACATCGAACGAGAAGTTCTTGTCTTGATGCATGGTATTAATCGTTTTCATGTCTATCTGTATGGCAGACGCTTTACAGTCATCACCGATCACAAACCACTTGTGATGATCAACCAGAAACCAATTACCAGTGCACCACCTCGGCTTCAGCGCATGTTTTTGAAACTAGCCGGCTACGATTTTGATTTAGTCTACAAACCTGGTCCAGAACTAGTCATACCAGATACCCTTAGCAGACTACCAAACCCAAAGAATTCAAGTGAAATACCTCTAGATGAACGTGTCGAAACGCTTGTAATTGATAGTATCGACATAGACCTAATCAATTTTGGTACAACGAAACAAGATCAACTACGAAGCGAGACAACTGCCGATCCTGTACTCAACGCACTTCGTGAGAATATTCTTACGGAGTGGCCGGACACGATAAAAGGGTTGACCCGTGAGCTGCGACCATACTGGTCATACAGAGACCAGTTAGCTGTCACATCAGGAATTATCTTCAAAGGCCGACAGATACTTATTCAAGCTGATATTCTCTCCCAACTTCATGCATCTCACCAAGGTAGAGAGAAAACTAGGAAATTAGCTCGACAATCCATCTATTGGCCTAATATCAATGCAGATATCGAGAAGATGATCCGCAACTGCGACCAATGTCAAGAATTCCAACCTAGACAAAAGTCCGAACCACTCCAACCACATGATGTACCACCTTTTCCATGGATAAAACTTGGAACTGATCTTTTTCAAATCAGCGAAAGACATTTCCTGTTAGTTGTTGATTACTTCAGCAAATACCCAATAATCAAGGAGCTGAGAAACTCAATCAACAGTACATCTGTTACAGCAGAGATGAAATCTATATGGTCGATTTTTGGTGTACCGGAAGAAATCGTTAGCGACAATGGTACACAGTACACTGGACGAGAGTTCAAACAATTCTGCAATGACTGAGGGATAAAACACACTACTTCCTCTCCACATTTTCCACAGTCAAATGGCATGGCAGAGCGTACAGTTGGAACAGTGAAGTCTATCATCAAAAAATGTATTAAAAGTCAACAAGATATCGATAAAGCACTTCTACATCTAAGAGCTACTCCAGTTGATCATAACTTGCCTTCACCAGCCGAAATCCTTTTGAGTAGACCCATTCGTACCACCTTACCCTCTCACCAGACCCCGAGTCCAAAGATAGAAGAAAAACGATCTAATCAACAGGAACAAAATCACGAAAGTCCATCATGACAGTCATTCCTTGCCAACTGAATTGCCTCGTCTATTTTCCGGCCAGCCGGACCGCATAATTGACCACAGGTCAAAAACATGGACTCCAGGTCATATTGTTGAAAAGCTACTACACCCACCCAGATCATATATCGTCAGGACGAGTTTAGGAACCACAGTCCGACGTAATAGATCTCAGTTACGGGAAGTGCATCAACGAGCATCAACACAACCACAGCCAACACTGTTTAGTTATAACACCTTTCCAAAACCAGTTAAAACAGTAAGATTTGCACTACCTCAACCAGCTCCAACCATTGCCCAACCATTGCATGGAAATCACAACGGTCTAAAATCGAATCCATTAACTCCACCAACCAACAGTACAACGGAAGAAGACAAACCCACTACGCGCCCTTCATCAGAACATCAATATGTGAAGTCGAGATCTGGACGTGAAATAAAAACACCAAGTCGTTACAAAGACCAATATATTTATTTAAATATCATTGAATAATTCAAACTTTAGCTATTAATGTTATCTTACAAAAACAGGGGGATGTTGTATCATGTGATAACCACTCGCGTGACGTAACTTATTGTACGGCCTATTGCGCATGTCATTATTGTATAATCTTCATTCTGAGTAAAGCTGTCCTCCTGAACGTTGTGTTTATAGTCCACACCAACATAAAACTATAACAAATACCATATAGATTAACAACACCTTAACAGCACCTCTCTCTCTCTAGTCATCTTCTAAACTCTACTTCTCTCTCTAGACATCTTCTAAATATCACTTCTCTCTTTTGACATCTTCTGAACATCACTTCTTTCTGTAGTCATCTTCTGAACATAACTTCTCTCTGTAGTCATCTTCTGTCTCTCTCTAGACATCTTCTAAATATCACTTCTCTCTTTTGACATCTTTTGAACATCACTTCTTTCTCTTTCTCAAGTCATCTTCTGAACATCACTTCTCTCTGTAGTCATCTTCTGAACATCACTTCTCTCTGTAGTCATCTTCTGAACCTCACTTCTTTCTGTAGTCATCTTCTGAACATTACTTCTCTCTGTAGTCATCTTCTGAACATCACTTCTTTCTCATTCTCAAGTCATCTTCTGAACATCACTTCTCTCTGTAGTCATCTTCTGAACATCATTTCTCTCTGTAGTCATCTTCTGAACCTCACTTCTCTCTGTAGTCATCTTCTGAACCTCACTTCTCTCTGTAGTCATCTTCTGAACCTCACTTCTCTCTGTAGTCATCTTCTGAACATCACTTCTCTCTGTAGTCATCTTCTGAACATCACTTCTCTCTGTAGTCATCTTCTGAACATCACTTCTCCCTGTAGTCATCTACTGAACATTACTTCTTTCTGTAGCCATCTTCTGAACATCTTTTCTCTCTCGTCATCTTTCCAAAATCTCTTCTTTCTCTTTCTTATCTTGAAATCGTCACTTCTCTCTGGTGTCATCTTTTGAGATCAGAAAACAAAACAGATATAGACTTAAATTTAAAAAAATGAGTTAAAGGAAACATACAAGAGAATAACATCAGCGAAATGGGCTTATGTTCACAGAAATGAAGCTACAGGTTTTATTTCATTTTGGAAGAGGGTGAAGCCAGAAGATTGTTCACTTATTTGCATATATATAAATGAAACATCCTTTATTATTAAGCTTTTCAGAATATAGCTATAGTGTTATTCATATATCTTTTCTTATTTTTCAGACATCTTACAGATCCTTTCAATGTTGATAAATGTCTTCAAATGACAAATCAGGTGCACCATGGCTTATAAATTAGCAGCTCAGCAGCAAAATAAAACAACACCATTGGTTCTTTTATCCATTCTATATGAGGAATGTATTAAAAATGGGACAAAATTTATGCTCAGTGAAAATAAAAGTAGAAGTTCCGGAAGTAAGGAAGGTGATACTGATTTTGGTGCTGTGATGTATATCATTTCAGTGTTGGTGTTTTATTCATTAGGAATTGTTGTTATGATTATTAAATATTTGCGAACTGAAAAAGAAGAAATGGAAGAAGAGGCAGCTTTGGAAACGTTCTTTAAGGGAATGCCAAGTAGACAGAAAGCTCATGAAAGTGAAGTCAATCAAGTTGCTATTCAAGCTTTCCATACATTAACATCAACGACAGTGGATGGCGAGGAAAAGGTAGTGATTCAAAAAGTCACAAGAATCCAACAGACACCTCGTCTTTATCGACAAGTTTTAGTGACAGATCTTTGATAGAAAGTCTTGCTAGCAAGCAACATCTGTGATCACATTTTTTTTTAAAAAGATTATCCAAAAATGTTTACTGTTTCTGATGTAATGTTCTTAGACTTGGAGTTACATGTATATACAAAATATAATAAATCATCGAACTACATTTAGTCAATAACAGTTGGAATGTTTTAAATGTAAATAACGTATTTTATGCCATGTATTTAACAAACTTATAAATAATAATTTCCAAAGTGTTATTCACTCATGGATTGACGACAAAATATGGATTTCCATAACCAGACATGCTGATTGTTTTTCTCTTTCAATTAAAATGTGATTTATAAAGATCATGAATCAGTTGTTAATCAGAAATCAATAATTGGAGTAGAATAGTTATCATTCTAATACGGTTATACAGAGTATGAAACTGTCGTTATATATAATCAATAGATATATTTTCATTTATTCTCTGAGCATAATGGAATTCGACTGGATGCGTTATTCCCATGGTAGAATACCTTCTGAAATTAAATTTATTTTTTATATGCAATCCTGATATAATTATTCGCTAGCCTATATTATATGGTGACAATAAACCGATATATTTATTTTATTCCATACATTTCACTGTTTAAAATTATTTATGGATTATGAAACAAATGGTTTATATTTGAAAGGAAACCAATAATCATTACAGTTTTATAGCAAATGGTTAGTCAAGTTTATAACATTATTCTCCGAGATAAACGGATCCGAGTATGGGCCTATATATGCATAAATTAACATAATTTAGTTAAATTTCGTTCTTACTCGTGTGAAGAACGTGTCACTAATAATTATAAAGTTTCTAATTTTCAATAAACTGGTCGTTGGTTTGATATGACAAAAACATAAAAAAAATTATGCGATTTTAGAAAAATTACCAAAAGTATCGATTCGATTATAACAACACTTTCTTTGACTTTTAACATATTTTCAAAGATAATAGCTAAAAATGTCAAATCAATGAAACGCGCTTCTCACTGATTCCCAAGGGAAATAACTCAATTCTCCATCACTCAATTAACATTATCTTATAGAATACTATAGTATCATTACTGACACACAAATAATTTGATCCTTAATTTCCAAGGTGTCAAATGACATTCACTGATCGATAAACTAGGGAAACAAAATTTTACTTCCTTTTTGTACATTACTTTTATTTGAAGCGTCTTCAATATAGGTGTTTTTAACGTTTTCAGATGAAGTTATTACCAATAACTATTTCATGTTAGTAACGCCCTGGTAGTAACAACAACTTCTAACGTGCTTTGTATTTGTCAAATTGTAAGAGAATTGTGAGTGGAATTTTAATTTTGAACGCGCTGTGGATGGCTGAAATTGAGGTCTAATATAATGTTAACACTCTTCTTATCTGGATGTGTCAAATACTATAATGTGATATTTATTTGAGTAAATATACCAGTTCTATATTGCATCTATTTCAATTGAATACTGGAGGGAGTTACTGTAAGTTTGAAGTGGAGTATGTCTCGATTTACTATATAATATTGAGTATGATATATTTTGTAGCATATATATTATAGTCTAAAAGCAAAAGATCAAACTGAATGTTATGGTCAATTTTTTTAATGATCAATCTGTTTTGATGCACCATTCACAGTTTTTACAAATCAAATGCTATGTTTTTTCAACTGGAACATCAGCTTTCACCATGTTATGTAATATTATAGTGTTAAAGGAGATGTAATTCTTTATCAGATTAAAAATACTGGTATCACAGAAAGATATGACTTATTAAACCATACAATTTCGAATAGTCTGAAATAATCATAACAAGACCCACCTAAGGGGGAAATCACTATGAATTTATTTGCAACTTTTTTCTATAAGTTGTGTAAATTACTATTTATAATTACTAATATGATAGGACTTTCTTGCATATACTTTGGTGGTAACGGGTGTTATCATGTCTTGGAGATAGAGTAACCTACAAACTAGTATAAAAACTTGATTACTTTTCTACACAGACAGCTGACGAGTATCGACCTAATTCAATTTGAGAAAACCATTCCGCTCATCAAAATGAATTACTATATTTGAAATGGACAGAGCGACTGGGTATAATGAAGATAATGTGCTGTTGGTTTATCAGTAGCATTATTTAGCAAACCACTAGACGTCATTTATGGTCGTGTGGTTGTTAAGCTTCCTGCTGTGATGATAATAAAAATATATCAACAAAGGGATTTTTGATCGAAGACAAAACAATATGTTGAAAAATGATCAATGTGAAGATGACTGTATAATTCCAATTTGATCATTTGGCTATGATTAAAGTCCAGACAAAGTGGAGACTATCTATCAATTCTTCACTTTTATAGAATTATATCATCATCCGTCTTACCACTTCCAGACAGTTTAATCTTGCACTGTTTTATATCAAAGATCTATATCGACTAGTCCAAATAACTTCTAAGACAGACAATTTTTCTCAAAACAATATGAAATATTATAACTATGATTGGTAGTGGCGTTGTGGTCGAGGGAGGGGGAGGGGGGGGGTGGAAAATCAAGGGGCGCCCAATTCTTCGAGGGAGCGCGAAAAGCCCTTTTTTAACACTTGTCAGCAAAAGTCTGCAATGTTTACAGCACC